GTGCTTCATGGGTTAAGTGTCCCTGGAGCTAATTTGAGAAGCAAATTGCCTCATTCCTTCTCTTCACATCTTTCTTTCACACTGTAAAATTTTAACAGCTGTTTATCCCTTGTTCCTCTTTTTCTTAATTAGTTTGATAAAATTTCATATCTTTAGCTGATACTCTGCAGGAATAGAATATTGCTAACTTTCCTAATGCTAGAAAATAGTCGCAATGGTAAGTAGGTCAAGTCTGTACTGTTTAGGGGACAAGGAGATTTTTGTTGTTTGTTTTGAAGGAGTGATCCTTGTGAGAATGAGCCTCTGGGTGGTGCAGGTGAGTGGTAAACCGTGACAAGGGGCTGCTTCCTTTTTCCTACAAGGATGTTGCTGCTAATTTGTGACAAGGAAAGCATTTTGTGTAAGGATGTGAGGCCAAAGCTACCTTATCTTTCTTCTCATCAGGAAGAGTTTCCCCCGGTATTTCACAAGAAGATCATGATGCTTGAAAAGGCTCAAGATTGAACAGCTCTGAGGAAGCTGCCAGAGTTCTACTTAGACATGGTGACTACAGCTTCTCTATTTCTTAAGAAAAATAAGACCCTCACTTCTGTTTCAATCACTGTAAGCACTAGCTCATTACAGAGTTCAGTGTATTTGAGATTCATGACAATCGAAGCTGAAAATTGGGCTTTTTGGGCCACGGTTTTCTTCAGCAATCTTCCCATTGTCGTTGGAGTTTTTGAGCACTGCCCTCAGGACAAAGGGGTAGGGTCAGGGGCATGGGCCGCGGTGAGAGGGGCTATTTGCGTGGCCTGTTTACAGTTACTCCCTTTCAACACTAAGCCAGCCTTTCTCCACATCTCGGGCCAGCCTCCAGCCTGAGGTTACACTAAGGCCCCTGAGGCTCACAGGAGCCAGCAGGGCCGCTTCCCCTGGGCCGGTGCTCAGGAATTTCGCCCGCAGGGACTGGCGCTGCGTGGACACAGGAACGCCAGCTTCTCTCCACTCTGCGTCCCGGGAAGGGGGGTTAAGGACTCGATCCAGGCAACGCCTCCGCTGCCAGGCAATGAGGAGCGGGGAC